CCCCCCCCCAGGGCTGCCACACCTGACAACTAAGAAGCCCAACCCCCAGGGGCTACCCAGGTGGTACCCAATCCAAAACCCTGTTTGGGCAACCTCTCCTCCGACATTCTTCGCACATGTCCATACCAGCATAACTGCCTGGACATGACATCGTAAATTGTCCACTTAAAATTGGAAATAGCTGATGTGGCCTGGTTCCTTTCTGCTAAATGCGGTCCAAATGAGGATATTTAGATTTACTGGGCAGCAGAGCTCGTTGCGGTTTTAACTCTACGATTTAAAATTCATGATTGAAGCTGACCTCAATTTTTGAGCGATCGAATTTTCCCGCGTAAATCCTTATTAGTAGCATTAAAAATTATCGAGTTGACGTCGGACTGCGTCCCTGTCCCCTCGGAAGGACGGCCGCGGAGGCTCGGCAAATAAACATCCTAAATCAACAACGACAGGCTGCACGGAAACACTCGCCGATCAGCCGCGTTGCGGGGTTGCCGGATTTCCGGCGGAAAACCCCCCGCTCGGTATCGGGGGGCACGATTTACGGCCACGACTCGGCGCCTGCGCCCCCACTTCAGAATCCATGTCGGGGGCTGCGTTCCCCGTACCGGGAGCCCCTCCCGAGGGAAAAGCTGACGCTTGCAATTTTTTTATCGGCAATATGCAGCTTTACGCGGTGCAGTCAGCGCGGATGCCAGATCTTGGTGAGTCGATATTTGGTATTTTTAAAATTTAAACGTTCAAAAGCGCAAAACCGGTATTACCAAGAGCAAGAGGGCCTGGAAGACTACCTCCCAGCTGCGCTGTCCGCTTATGTCTTTTTGAAATTAAATGTACGACTCGAGGTTAGTTAAACTACATTTTGCAATAATGAATCACTATTTTTGGCTCATTTTAGAAACAACATATGTGCCATTGATTTCCCTTCGCAGATAGATGCTTTTATGGAGGAGCCAGAGATAGTGATTCCTTATTGCAAAATTGAATCCATTTAAAACCTTGTCGAATTTTCATAATTCGATGATTGCCTTTTAGGACAGGAACCGGACATTTCATCCCCGACAATCTCTCATCGACGTATTGACGATAGTTTTTATGCATTGTCGGGGTGGAGGGGGGATATTTTGGCGAGGCTTGTGCCACAAAAAGGGGGAATAAATTTTAAAAAATCCTCTATTAATGGTAGAAGCTCATCTTATTTTAGTAAACATTATATGCCTTGGGGATGCCCTATATCCTGCCTCTCTTACTTTTTTGCACGGTTCTACGCATTTTGATTCCGTTTGTTACGATAGCTGGAGACAGTATATTGCCTCGAATGACGTTTTGAATAAATTCATCTTATTGTTAGAGTCGTCCATAAATTATGTTCGGCATCCATGATAGATCAATAATAAGTGAGTTTAAAGCTGTAACGATTAGTAAATATGAAACTTGAGCTAATATTGTATAGGGCTGAAAACGCAGCTGAAACGAGCAGCTTTACATTTTAAGGATTGCGGAATGATCAACAGAGAAAAACCAGTGAAATTCAAATTTACACTTCGGTTTTATTCCAAAATTTACAGTAGAGAGGGTTGCCACAGTGAAACTGGGCGTATTTTAAAGGAGTACGTTACTATCGAAAATCTTTGAGAATTACCTGATGTATTCAATACACAATTGACTCAACATTTTTTCGTCGGTTAGCAAAAAAAAAGGACGTAAGACAATCCCAAAATGTTGTCCCCCGCATGTGCATGTTATCATGTTGATTCACTGGGGGAAAACTGGGGAGAATTCAAATTTAACAATAGTTGAACGCCCAAAATATCGATCACATATCGCCACCTTCCAGCCAAAGTATCGCAAGCTCCATGCGACGTTTAAAAATTTTCGCCACCATTTTATTTCTTTACAGAAAAATCGTTCAACAAAGTTGTCCGAAAATTTTACTGAAATTTCTTTGCATGTGCCGATAAAATTCAGCGAAATTTTAAATTAGATTCAACTAACAATTTATCTGTACAAGAACAAAATGACAGCGGAAATGTTTAAACGCTGCATGGCGTTTGTGATACTTTGGCTGGAATGCGACGATATATACTGACGTGTTAATTTAATTGTGTGTTGAGATAAACAAATACCGCTTACCCGCCGAAATATCCCAAAGGAAAAAATAAAGTCACTGACGGACTATTCCGATACAACTCAAAGAACGTACTTGGCTGATGTAGCAATAACGTAAAGTGACAAAAATTTTCGAAAACAGTAATCGTTGCGTTGACGAAGATAATATTAACCCAAGCACGATATTGCTCCGGTGTTTTTGAAGTATTGTGAATGCTTCTGAGTTGCGGTCAGTTACATGTCAGATACGTTGCATCTCTTAGAATTGAAGGCGCGTTTTAGTCGGTGTCGTGACCACTAACTATCATCATTTTACGGACATGAATGAATCGCACATTTCATGAGAAATAGCTTCAGAGGACAAGAGCTGTTCTTTTCTACACTGACTGCGTGATTGTTTATAGGGGCATTGACCATAGTCCTCAAAATCTCGAATTGAGTTATTGATATCAGAGCCTTGGAAAGTACCCCATGAACATGATGATAAAGTCTAAAAATGATGAAGTCAAAAATTGACAAACGAAAACGGACTTGTGCTGGTCTAAAATTTGTGGTTCAAAAAACATTGTTGCGACAAAAAAAATTGGAAATAGAAATTTACGTTGCTATAAAGTCTATATTATTTACTAAATAGCATTCGCAAGGGGGAAATGAGGACCGATCATCATCTTGCTACTTTTAATTAATCGCTCTCTTTTTAAAAATTAAAGTCATTTCCTTCCTCTTTATGTATTCTCTTTTCCAAGGGTACCTGTTTTTCATGCGTCACTCTTTTTCTTTTTCTCAAATTTTCCACTATCCCCCATTTTTGCTTCCTCCATTTTTATACTATTTTTCCCCCTTTGTCCTCTTTATTCTCACCATCCTCATCTTTTTTCCTATATTCCCATGTTCCTCTCTTTCCTTATTCATACCCCAGAAACAAAGAGAGACCCTCAATCATTGGTATCTTGGCAACAGTGGCAACCTCTAATTTTGGAACTTTAACATTCAACTGTTGATGTACCAACTAGGTTGATACTGAACAAGGTGTTGAGCACTTTATTTGCAGACGAGCGGAACTTCAGTCAACTTTTCTGGCCAATAACGACACCCAAAGCCCATCGTCTGCCCAAAAGGTAGGTCAACAGCCGAAAAAGAGTGAAGACGGTTTCTTCCTTATCAATTGTCCGTAAAGGAAGTGTATGTTGAATCCCCGAAAGTAAAAGTTTCCACCAAACGTGATGAAGTTAGTGTCGCGGGTCTCTATCTGTATCTTTTCTTCTCTCTTCTCCATTTCTCCCTTATCGCTCCCCTTTTTTATACGCCAATTAATGTCAGATCTTACTCTTACCTGCACATAGTGTGAGATCTATAGTATTTTTCTTGAGGCAAGTTTCGTAAGAGGTGCAATAACAGTGTTTTTCAGAGTCGGCTGGATCGCCAAAATCAACTGTGTACTCATAAGCAGGAATGCCTTTGTAATCAAGCTCTCTCACAAACTTCGAACTGATCACCCTGAAATGTGAGAATAAGCACATATTAAACAGGATCTTACGGTGAGGATCTATCGTTTATAGTTTAATTGCGCGGAATCACCGAAGGTAAAAGGGGTTTCAAAATTTTACGTGTCACTTATTTCTCGTTTTTGATCTCTTCCTCGAGATCTTTTCCTTTAAAGCAGACATGATAGCCTTTCTCCTTAATTTCATAACAAGACCCATCCCCAAACTTTCATTGATTTTTCGACTTTCAAGACATATACGAAAATTTTGTCTAATGATGATAATTGAGGAAATCGCCTTTAACTATGTGTAATACTTCTTTCACGACACATAAGTTGATAGGCATATTCAGAATCAAAGCCTAGTGCCCGATCGAAAAATTATTTTTGATACCTCCTCAACGACGCATGAGTCGAAATAACTGCATGCACTACTTTTCAGAGACGAATGTACGGTCTTCTTGTGGCTAACCGATACAAATCAGATACAATCGTACCTCAGAAAATGCTTTTAGTTATATATAATTTGACTAACGACACATGAGTTATCGCATTCAATATGAGAGACCAGTGCACTGTCTCTGCATGCATGACCGCTGATCAAGGAGAGTCGGACGCACGCAAATTGCCTTCAATTCTGCGTGATACTTCTTTAATAGCACATGATTTTAAATAGTCGCATGTATTCAGAGTCCAGTGCACGGTCGCCGCTGATTGAAGACATTCAAACGCGCTTCAAAAAATAGCCTTCAAATGTATGTGATACCTCTTTAACGACATAGGAGTTGGAATAGTTGCATGAGATATTGAAGCTATTGCACCATCTCCAAACTACCTCTCGGTAAAATGATTGGATTAAACCTCAGAATTATGTGTAAATAATACGTTACTACCGACAAAAGTCCGCGGCAAAGACATCGAAGCCATCCTTGGTGACGAAAGATGGCAAGATGGTAGAGTCGGTGCCCCTGATTTCGTTACATTTAGCCGCCGACCAAACTTTTTGGGCTTTGCTTCGATTATATTCCATCACTTCGCCAACCAGTTGTGGGTTTCGCAGACCCCGATTCACTTTGAACATTATTGGATCCGGTGTCCCGTTCCTCTGAAACATTCTTCAGCAGTTTTAACCTGATTTTCGTTTAAATTGCATGTTATTACATGATTCTTAATGCACTTACATGCACTCAAATGTTTGTAGTAACGAATTCAAAGCGTTTTACGTGTAAAGAGGAAGAGGATATATTTAACGCGTAAACTTTTCAACGACCCTTTGTCGAAAAAAATTTCATGTTGAAGGAAAGGCGCAAATTGCAATTAGCAATTTTCCTGCATATCAATCAAGAAAATATCACAAAAAATTATGAAAAAAACTGAGACAAACAAAAACTCTCCGATAGCCTCTTGACGACAGGGTGGTAAATTCTACCCGCTGGCTGAAACAATTGTTTTGCTAACTGTTAGTAAGGTTTTAAGCGGATTTTTTGACAAATAAACAGATTCCTGCGTTCGGCATTTTAGTCAAGAAGATAATTTGTCCTTCTCCTTAAAAAAGAACGTAACTACATTACAATATTACCAAAATCATCTTGCAAATTGCGTTCTAACTAGAAAAATCTTGAAATTTCTAACTAAAAATTTCTCTGATAACTATCCTGATCTCATAAAAAAAAATCAAAAACATTTTGGACAAAAAATTGCACAGGTACATTCTTGTAAATTGAATTGTTTGAGTAAATTTTGCAGCCTTGGGATGGGGTTACGTACTTTCATTCGGGAAACGATGAATTTCTGCCCGGGAAAAAATTTGGATCCTCTAGGTATAAAAAATTCCACAATAGAGAATTTGCAGGTGTCTGAAATTTCGTAAATGTCATCTTTAAAATGATAATGCTAGGAAAACTGAGGGCTAGGATATCCTTGGTTTCTAAATTCGACAATTATGGAGTTAATATGACAAAATGATCTAATCTGCTAAAATACATTTGTTCAAATGGAAAATGCCGCCAGATGACGTCATGAGGCGGCACATTTTCTCGCTTTTAAATCTATTTTGCTCCATTTTCCAATTCCCCATGTCAGAGAAAAATTATGAAAAATACTGTGAACTCGGCTCACTAAGCACTCTCAGATGAAGCAATAAAATATTTGTGTGCAAATTCTCCATTGTTAGAAAACTAGTGGAAGATCTCTGTTTTTCCATGAAATTACCGCTCCAAATATGGAAAAGAGAAACGTCTGCTCGTCTTTCCTGACGAAGCCGGGATTTTTCTGGAACTCGTTGCAGAAAATCGCTTGAGCAAAATGTGTTTCGTTGCAGTTAACAGGAAGTCCGTCGAAGAGGAGGTCTCGAACCGTGACAGGTACGAAAACCGTAGAAGGGTCTCCAAAGAGGAATGGAATAGCCATATCTAAATATCCAATGGACTCAGGGTTCATCCGCAAGATAGCTGAGGCCAGCCCCTGAAATCATCATACATCTGATCATGTGATTTTACAGGCAAAACAATAATGGGCCAATAGACGCATGCATGGTATGAGTTGATGCATGAGGTGCTCCCTTCATTTCAAAATTTCACAAGAAAACGAATCATTAAGCGGGAAGTCTAGAAATCAACTCATAAAGAGGATGAAGCAAAAATTCAAATGACGTCTTGTACGATTAAACCTCCATTTAATCGTGTTACAAATACTTGTTAATTTCTCATAAAAGAGTTTGTTTCCGAACGTCTCGTTGTGTGAATTGTTTCCTGCGTAAGATTTTGAGGAAAAAAGATAGATGGCAGCACCAGCACCGCTTTTCATCCACTTAAATTTATGTAAAACAGGTTATGGGATATTTCGTCAACGATTTTTTGTCCGCGCACCTGTTTTTTTTTCCAGTAATTTACGTCCACGCGCTTTTTCGGCACGGGAGTTTTGGTCCACGTGCCAGTTGAAACCCAAAGTTAATTGGCCCACATGTAAATACAAATGACCATTGCTCACGACGTTTTTGGATGGAAATGTATAATTTCTTGGAAGAATGAGGGTTTGCTTGTTTTTTTAGTTTTGTCTGTTTGGTCCAACGGAGAATAATATATAGTTGAGAGTTTTGGTAAAAATGGGGGAGCGTCAATTCTATGAGACAAAATTCACTAAAACTCTATACACCTCTTTGGTGTAACAGGACTTAATTATCTTTCAAGAAATTCCCACTTTGTAATACCTGAACCGGATAAACCCCTATATTTGCCTCAGCTAAAGGCTCTTAGATTTTTCCTGTGTACGATAAGTATCTTGATTTATTTTGCGAGGAAAGATCTGTACTTTTAAAGGATGCCTGTCATTCTTAATACGTTCAATTTCGAATAATGCTGTGCAACACCTCTATTGTGAAATAGTTGCTTCAGGCGCCGCCGCACGGCAGGCGGGCGGCCAGCACGGAACGCGCATTGGCGCCTACAAACCTAAGTGGATACGTCCAGCATTGTGCAGTGCGTGAAGTATCCACTTAGGTTTGTAGGCGCCAGTGAGCCTCTCGCGCTGGTAGCACGCCGCTCCGCTCTGTTAGGCTTTAATAGGTATTTATACTCGCAGAGTCAGCGTTTTTTAACTGATGATTTTGAAATGCTTGCACACTCTGCATTGATTATTCTCATTTAAAATAGGGGAAAAAATATGTATCGATCTATCAAAGGAGAATAGTAATATAATGTGTGCTTTTTAAATATGTATTGATGATTCCGTGTCAAATTTGATGATTTCTAAAGCACTTTAATTTTTTCTTTTACATTTTGTGCTTTTATTGTGCTGCAGTGAGGTGTACGCGCAACCAAACGCTCAAAATTTCACGTATTTGACTCTAAAAGATCGATGTACAAATGGGTTAAAACTAAATATTGCGTGCTCCTTGGTTTTTCCCCCTCTTTTATTCATTTTTGCAGTTTCTGTCGGCACAACTGCGGCTCATTGAGATTAATGTCGTTTGGAAAAGGTTTTACAAATATTTGCCAAGTTTTAAAAATACAAATGTTTTCAAAATGAAGTAATAATTTTGTAAAGAAAAAATTAAAAAAATAAAAAAAGTAACTATACATATAGAAGGTATATTGTACATTCAATATTTTAAGGATAGAAATAAAACCAAATATTCACCAATGAAAATTTAAAAAGATGATTCAAAAGGAGAAAGTAATAACATTTCATTTAGAAAATGAGCAACCATAACAACACCTCTTTCTCTCTCAATTTCTCATTTCCATATTTTTAATATAATTGTACATACCGACTAAAATATAACGCTTGGACGATGTCACTGTTGCTTATTTTACATGTGGGCGTAAACCACTGGACAAAAAAGGTGCGCAGACAAAAAATCTTTGACAAAATGTCCTGAAACCGTAAAACAATCAATCCTTGGTGAGCCAGCTTGCCTCACCTAAAATCAATATTTTTAATTGATTTAAATTGAGGAAAAACAGTTTTGCTAACTTGCAAAATCGCCACTGTCCAGTAGCCTATTACACACTTGAACCAATTTCTTCTCTTATAATGGGTCCATTCCCTTATGTTCCGCAATCTTCGTAAAATATTCACCTATGCACTGGTATCACTGGTATCAAAAGCTCATTCTTGAGTTTTTTTCTCGACAATCACACATTGTAAAAAGGAGTTACGAGCTTTACAGACATGCCGTCCGTTTAAGGCTTATAAGCGTAAAGTTCCGGGTGCTGGAGCCGTAGGTTTGATTGCTCCGGGTGCTATACCCGGAACTTTCGGCCTCTAAGCCCGAAACGCTGGCATGTCTATTTAGCCCGTATGTACTGCTTCTACGGCCAGATTTTTTTTTTCAGTGTAAACTTTATTTGCTAAGAAACTAAAGATCGCGCACTTTTGGCAACGCTTGATATTTCTCAGTGTCGTCTTGCAGCACCGGATTGATGCATGTATTCTAACCCCGTAAATATTACTGTTTACGTCGTGCATGTCACTTACAACGATCAAAACATGCGGAACGTAGATGAGTTCATCACCCGTGAGGCCCCCGCTCTTATTGGCGTCGAACACGAAAGTATTGAGCATATGAAACGTGACAGCGTCCTCTTTTGGGTAGTCTGTGATGTTTGCTTTCGACTTCCACTCACTGCAATGTGTCAAACATACCACCAATATAGCGTCAATCTGACATCGCGTCTACGAGAAAAGGAACTTCAGTACGTGCTGGTAATTTTTTCTGGAAAACTATTTCAGTCATGTGATTATAAAACGAACATATTTGTTCAAATGGACGTATTAATTCCAAAAGATAAACTGTCCTTCCAGCAGACGTCATGCATATAGTAATTTTTACCAGAAATATGATGCCGCTTTAATATTTTTATTTAAATACGTAACTCTGTTGCAAGAAATACGATAAAGGCCTCAAAAGCGACTTTCACCTATCTATGAAGGAAGAAAAAAAACAAAGAATAATGAAGCATCTTTCATACTTAAACCACTCGTCATAAAGCTAATTAAAATTTAACAAACAATTTTGTAAAATAAGACACTTCCCTGCCAAATAAAAGCGATTAATATAATATTTGACGGTGTAGCTTAAACAACAAGAGGGCACATTAATCAATAATTCGCACACATTAGTTGTATTGATTTTTAATACTTTTAAGAAATCTGAAGTGACTGCAAATAACTTACTCGTAAACATACGGACCAACTTGTTGGAGATGAATCTTGGCACCTTTCGCAGCCTCATTAGGATTTGTGACGTTGAATAAGTAAACTTTAAATTCCAGTGGGATCGGAGCTCTTTCCCAAGCTTTTCGTATCTCACCGTCTCGTTTTAGAGTTTTTTCCTTAAAAGAAAAAAAAAGAAAAAAAGAATTATACGTAAATCAAACTTAAAATCAGAGTAAAACCATAAAGCATCATTTAAATCAAAGTTTAAAATGAATCATCATTGGTACTTTTTATCTCTCAAAGGCTCGATCTTACCTTATCTTCGCTATTTTATTTATAGCTACTTTGATATCAGGTACTAATATTTGATCTTTTGTTTGTCTCGTTGTTTTTGATATTCACCATAATCTAAGATAAATTCACACAAAATTCAGAGGCTTAAAGTAGTTTAGTATCTGTAAAAGAAATAAAACACTGGAGAAAAATAGTCGGTGTGCATTTGCAGTAGTTGAGGGCTAATTTCACGTTAATGCGGTCAATTCATCGGTGCAATTAAAAATGTACTCCCCGCCTACACTTGTCGTTATTGATTTTTACGCGCAAAACGTAAGCTTCGAAAGACAGGCAACATACGCATGAATGAAGATATTCGATGGCACGCGTAGTAAACTTGAACCTGAAGTGAAGATATATTTCTCACGTGCCATGTCAGTAGTAGCCAGATCCTTCCGGCGCACAATGTTCCCTGTTCCATCAAAAAACTGCTAAAATTTGACCAGAACACTATCTGACTAATTCTTATTTTGTGCATGAACGTCTTGACGTATTTGAACTACCAGCGTTAGAAAATTCGAGGTGCTTAAAAATGGCAGTTTTATTGTCAATATATTAAACGATCCTATGTACATTCTCTTTTAACTTACTCTGAAACTTTTGTTTTTAATGATCGCAGTGGGTATTTCTGAAGCAAAAAACTAAATGCATCATTATACGATGGTTATGCTATTTGAACTTCTTATAAGTCGAAGCAATTGTATCGTATGGATTATATTTTGCTATTAAGAGCTGTAATTTCGGGCCCATTCGTAAAAAACACTTATGCGCCAAAGGAAACTAATGGTGTATGTAAATTGTTTCTAAAGTGAGCCATAATTTGTAGTTCCTGATAGCAAAATGCAGTTCATATGTTGTCATGATGAGCCATTTGCCAGGAAAATTTGTGCGAATTAGGTAGCTTTTTTCAAAGCGGATTTATAGGTCCTCTTTTGCTCTGGGCCCAGCAGACGAAATTGATAAGAGGAGATAATAATGGATAAAATAGAGAGAACAACATTTATGCCCCTCCAAAGCGACAAGATCTAAGACCATCAAGATGTGTCACCCTGGCGAAGACTCAAACTCGGGACCACTCGGTTAGTTGTGCTAACCACTAGACCAACGAGTATTATACACTGGAAAAAAACACATTAGATCTAGAGTCCAGACTCTTAAAAACATCGACAAGAAAAAATAATCTTGATTCAATCAGATTTAAGCTTAAATCAAGAACCAAGCCTCTTAATTTGAGCGGATTTCCTTTTGATTTAGGCTTAAGTCTGATTGAATCAAGAGTCCTTTTCCTTGTCAATGTTTTCAAGAGTCTGGACTCTAGATACAATGTGTTTTTTTTCCAGTGTACAGCACTTAGGCGCTTGAGTCTCATGAAAAATGACTGGAATTTTCAGATATTTTCAGGCCTTCAAAATCCGTTTTTCTGCTTGTCACTTTGTAACAAGATGTATTCATACCTATGCAAGACCAAATCACTAACTCAATTTCCAATTTGTCGGCGCTGAAGTCTTTTCGATTCAATTTTCGGCGGGATCCAAGCTGGTTTCGACCAACTGTGCGGCAGTCNTTTCCTTGTCAATGTTTTCAAGAGTCTGGACTCTAGGTACAATGTGTTTTTTTTTTCCAGTATACATCACTTAGGCGCTTGAGTCTCATGAAAAATGACTGGAATTTTCAGATATTTTCAGGCCTTCAAAATCCGTTTTTCTGCTTGTCACTTTGTAACAAGATGTATTCATACCTATGCAAGACCAAATCACTAACTCAATTTCCAATTTGTCGGCGCTGAAGTCTTTTCGATTCAATTTTCGGCGGGATCCAAGCTGGTTTCGACCAACTGTGCGGCAATCGGGATAGACGGAATGATTAATCAGACCACTCGCCTCCGGGAGTCTGTTTCGCGACTGGAGGAAGAGGGTGGCGCAGCTTCATTAGACATCCCGTCGAAGCGCCAGACGGCGCACAGTGGATCGAGTCAATAGGAGAAGTCGGACAAAATTTGGAAATTTTAAACGCTCGTAACTCCGTTTATTCAAAACTTTGAGGTCCTAAAATTGGTTCTATTGGTTTTCTCGTGAAATTTTCTTCACTCAGCACACCTCAAAGTTTAAAATGTGACGAGGTATACATAAAAATGTGCAGTTTTAGTTAAAATTTTCATGATCGACCTCTCTAACTGACTCAATCCACTGTGCGGCGCCGGCGACATTTTAATGGCCCGTGATATCGCGTAATTAGGCCTGGCAAGGAACTCTTGGTGTAAATAATTACATCAGAAGTACTCATGAGTTCTTCCGCACGCCAATGGACCCCCTCCGATTCCTACTGTATTAAACGTTTATGTCCGATTATCTATTAACTGCACAGCGACAGCTATTGCGGTTGGAACGCAATATAGAGACAATATTGGCTCAATATAAACAGTATCATCTCAATATTTTATCAGGGTTGAAATATAACCCCCGGCGCTCAGCCAACAGTGAGCAATTTTTGACTTCAACCATGCCACGACAATACTGTCGTGCTGAGGAAAAACGCCGTATGAACACTCGAGAGTTGCCAAATTTCCTTCGATAAAATGTTTATCCTTAAGGAAAGCTGTGGATATTTTTCCTTGACATTTTCAGAAACTTCAGGTGAAATTGCAAACAAAATGACATGAAAATTTTGAAGAAAAAGATTAACAAATGGACTACATTTTGCAATTTGGAACTATAAATTCTAGCCCGGTTTAAAAACAACGAATGTGCTATTAGTTTCCCTATGCACATACGTGTTTTTCCAGAAGAGACAAAATTTATAGTTCCAAATTGCAAAATGCAGTCCAAATCATCCCGATGACTAGTGATTTACCAAAGGAAAGAGCCTTTTGCAAAAACGGCCAAATCCCCCGTAGCTCCGATTGCTTCCATTTTTTAGTATGCTATTTTATCATAACAAAGGGCCCCGTTTCTGAAAATTTCAAGTAAAAAAAAAATTTTCCCGCGCTTTGGCGGCGTTGCCAAGTTGCAACCTTAAACATTCGATAACTTTTGAACCAATTGAGTTATTGATCTGCGGTTTGCGCTAAAATTCTTTAAAATTTATGAATTTTTGTTTTATGTATGGTTTTTGGATAGAACGTAACATTAAACTTATGATTCACCTCTTTTTTTGGATTTTTGATCCGTCGAATTTTACGTGTTCGTAATTACCCAAAAAAGCCATTTTTTGATTTTAAAAGAAATATGTCCAGTCGATTTCTCGTCTGATTCCGCATCCAACGATAAGTCATACTTGGCGGGGAAACGATTGGTATAGAAGTTATGACCATTTTTATACGCGGGTTTCGACGCGCCGTACCCATTACGCACCGTTACAGCCGTCCTGGGCTCCTCGCCGCGTGGCCTATGGCGACTGGTTCATCGACTGTACTCAACTTTTTAGTTTTAACTGACTTACTCAAGAGATAATTTGTAATAATAAAGTTTTTGTGCCCAGTGATTTGTTGTTCTAACCCATAGTTAATAGCCAGTTCTAAGTGTCAGAGACCATCCAGGCAAACGAATAATGTAGAATAAGTAGAAAATGACTGGGATAAGTGACTGTTCGAAGCTATGTGACGGAAAGAGAACTGATATTTGGGCTACATTTTGCAAGAAGAAACTAGAATTATCGGCTCATTTAAGAAACAACGTATGTGCCATTAGTTTCTTTATGCAAATACGTGCTTTTACGGATAGGTGTCAGAAATTATGGTACCTCATGCCAGAATGACGTTTATTTAGCGAGGGATATTAGAAGCATACCTGCGGGGTTATTAGGAAGTATTAATTACCTTTGGATCGATTAGAAATCTGGGATTAGATAGACAAAAGTTAGTTCGCAGTGCAGATAGTGCAAATAATGTCGTCAGGAATAGTCCTCTATTTCTAAAAAATGATAATGTAATTACATAAATCTATTCTTGAACGAAACTTATAGTCTCTGTGAAGCTCTTTAAAATGATGGATATCGATGAAGATTATTAGCGTAACTTGAAATGGATATTTATACGTATTAATTGAGAACGACAATATTCAAAAGTAGAGGAAACGTAACATTACAATCTTCCTTTTCATCGCAACGGAATCAGTGGTGTGGCATGAATTGCGATATATCGATTGTTATGCCATTTAAATCTACGTAAAAGGATCGATAAACAGGGTGTTCGCAGCGAAAACCTTAATAATCGATTCTTTACCATAGGTTTAGATGGCATAACAATCGATAAATCGCAATTCACGCCACGCCACTGTGAGGTTCGGTATACTCCGTTTTCCGCGAGAGATGAGGATTTTGTATGATACCACTATTTTAATGCCAGTGCGCGCGGCTGGTATCGCGCTCGAATTGAAGGCGCACAATCGTGAGAAGAGAACAAAAGTGAGGGCGGATACAGCTTTAAAGTGAAGTATTCAGCTGCCGCTTCTTGTTTTCTGCGTTTAATTGTGTGATTCAAATTTGACCCTTTTGATCAAACAATTACTTGTTTGCGATTGAAGTGCAATCAGTGTTCGAAACTCACTTTTGAGTTTCAGGAGCCATGTGGCGCATCAAGCCCGATTTTTAGGCGCCATTGAAGATTTTTAAGGGGCCAAAATGACTTTTTGCCTATATTTTACGCATATTTATTTAGTTAGACGCAAGATGTTTTCGTGCCCGTATGGGGGACTGATGTCACAGGTTTAGCAATCCTGCGGACCCCAGCTGGTAACCCCTGCCTCATGGGGTAGTGGAGATGGTCACCGGCTTCAAGGCGTATGAACCACCCATTGGAAGGGCAGACAGGGCTCTCAGCTGTAGTGGAAGCAACCTGTCTAGGAGA